AATAGTAGAATAGGAAGTGTTAAACGGAGGTGGGGATAGAAGGGTAGAGGAGAGGTGGGAATACAAGGAGGGGTTCTAAAAAGGCCTTTTAGAAAAGCTGTGTGGACATCTACTTAATAATATTAGTTTGCTTTTCTGTTATTGCTGTTACAGGACATTCTGACCAAAACCGACTTGGGGAGGAAAGGGTTTATTTCAGCTTACACAACACAGTCCATCCTTGTGGGACATGGAGGTAGGAACCTGGTGGTAGGAATTGAAGCAGAGTCGATGGAGGCGTGCTTCTTATGGACCTACCCCTTGTACTGGCTGGCTTTGTGTGTCGATGTGACAGAAATTAGAGTCATCAGAGAAGAAGGAGCCTCAGTTGAGGAAATGCCTCCATGAGACCCAGCTATTAGGCATTTTCTCAATTAGTGATCAATGGGAGGAGGCGTAGCCCATTGTGGGTGGTGCCATCCCTGGGTTTGCGGTCCTGGGTTTTATAAGAAAGCAGGCTGAGTAAGCCAGGTTAAGCAAAGTAAGCAGCATCCCTCCGTGGCCTCTGTATCAGCTCCTGCCTCCAGGTTCCTGGCCTGGCTTCCTCCAATGCTGGACTATGATCTGGAAGCATAAGCCAAAGAAACCTTTTCTTCCCCCACTTGTTTTTTTTGGTCATGGTGTTTCATAGAAGCAATAGAAATCCTATCAAGACATTTATTTACCATGACTTGCTCAGTCTGATTTCATACACAACTCAAGGTCCAAAGATGGCACCACCCACCTACAGTGATCTAGGTTCTTCCTATATCTATCAATCAATCAATCAATCAATCAATCAAAAAAAAATGCCCAATAGACATGCCCACAGGCTAATTTGACGGAGTCAATTCCTCCAGTAAGGTACCCTCTTCCTAGGTGAATCTATTTGTGTCAAGTTGACAAAGCTAACCAGCACACTACCGCTGTGGAAGCATCCTAAACTATACAAGTTTAAGAAGAGTTTAAATGAAGCTGTCCTACACCCCAACTAGACACCACATGCTAGCAAAGAAAATGATATTTTTTTTATTTCTTTCACCAGTGAGATTGCATAGACCCTCAAGCATTACAGGTTATTGCCATTACTTCTGGTTACCTTCAGAACTTGAGGGTAAGACCTTATGTGCTCACGTATGTGCTCAAGACACCACATACTTGAGTCATAAATATAGAAAAATTAAATTTATATTGACTTGGAATCTTTATCTCTACTGGTTAGCTTTCATAGTGCTGAAAGGTGCTATGTGGATTACTAGAGAGGAGCAGTAATCATAAATATTACCCAGCTGCAAATTCTATGAGCTACAATAATGACTGTCTTGTCATGGCATGCCCATAGGTTCAAGGGCATAAACATTCTGAGTGTGTCAGTTTGAATGGGAATGGTTCCAATAAGCGCATATGGTTTGAATACTTAGTCTAAAGTTAGTTGGAACTGTTTGGAAAGGATTGGAAGGTGTGGCCTTGTAGATAAAGGTGTGTTTCTGGTGGTAGACTTAGAGGTTTCAAAAGACTTGTACTATTCCCAGAATGCTCTTGTTCTGCCTCTTACTTGTGGGTCAAGATATGAACTCTCAGCTGTTTCTGCTACCACGTCTTTGCTCTGCCATCATGACTCTGACCCTCTGAAACTGTAAGAATGAGTAAATGCTTTCTGGTATAGGTTGCCTTGTTGTCACAGTAATAGAAAAATAACTTTATAAGGAGTAACTGACCACTTTTTGATTGGATTGCCATCCAATCACTTTTTGATTTTGATTGCCCGCTCTGTGAACCGGAACCCTTACCTGGCACCATGGGGCCAAGAACATGTGACTACATACACCATAGGCCCTGGGATGAATAATTGCTATACCTATGAGTATCTGTGCATCTCTCATCAGAGAAGCTGCTTCATTCAACAGCTGGCATTTAACACGGAGACCACAACAGTCAATGTTCCAAGAATAAGAGACTTCGAAATACTCAGCCCGAAATGGGACATCTTTATCACACTCTTCCACTCAAGGTTCAGGGATCTTCAAAGGAATTTGAAAAATCATCAACAACTAGAAGGTTGGGTGACTACAAGGAAAGGATGCTTCCTCTACACTACTGAAGACTTATACATATGAACTCACATATGTGATTTGACAGCATGCACAAGACCCATGCACACTTGAGCCAGACAAATATGAGCATGGTAGATGGGCACAAAGTTCTACCCCTATGGAAGGAGCTATTGACATATGATAGCTGCTAGGATTGAAGAGTCAGTTTTTTTTTTTTCTTTTTCTTTTTAAATAGTGTGACCCTGGTAGAATAACCATGCTTCATGGCAGGCCCCACACCCAAGAGTATTTGGACAACACTAATTGTACTCAATGGATTGAAAAGGAGAAGAAAAGAAATACAGAGAGAGCATGAAGTTGGGTAGGGAGGAAGGTGAGGGTGAATCTGGCTGGAACTCTGCTTTGCCTCATGCATAGCTCTTAAAATGCGCCCACTTCCTTACTTCAAAGCAAAGCCAACCCATCCTTTTCTTTTGTGTCGTTTTTCGGTTAGAAACCCCAAATGGCCTTTCACTACATTTACAACAAAATCTAGTCTCCTCATCATAGCTAGGGTGCCCTGAGCCATCTACTCTCTTCAACCTCATTCAAGCTTCCTTGTCCTCATTTTCAGTTTTCTCTTCTCCTCAGGCGCCTGTGCTCATGCTCTTCTTCCTCCGGGATCACTGTGTTTTCCCAGCTCCCTGAACAGCTCTCAAGCAGTCATTTACGTCTAGTTGAAAAGTCACTTCCCAGATGCTTTCTAGATTCCCCTCCCCATGATTCTCTAGGCTTGGCCATTCTTTTTGTGGTTCTTACTAGAACTCAAACTGCATGTATCTAGTTCTTTGTTTGTATTTAAGCGCCAGAAATACCTTTATGGATCAGTAAGTTCCATGCTGTGGGGGACTATTTCATTCATCACTGTTTGCCTGACACCCAGTCCAGTGAGTGTGTCCTGCTCGGTTTAGGTAAATGGCTTGTGTTGTACTCTTTACATATTTCAGGTAAATGTACTAGAACTGTTTTCCACTCTGGTTTTGCTTTAGCTGTATGCCCTGCACCCTGACTCCACTCCACGTAAAAACACCAGAGTCTTTGTGATCTTAGCAACAACAACAACAACAACAACAACAAAATGTCTCTCTGCAAAAGATTTAGAAAAACTGATTACTGGGAAAATGTAAATTACTTCCAAGACATTTCTAGTACATTCCTTGAGATGTTTATTTATTTAAAAATTGTAACTTTCTGGTCAATTAATTCATCATTGGCATCAGCTTTCTCCATCTTTTTCTTATGCTTATAGCCCACCAACACATTTGTACTAGAATTAATCCTTGAAGGAAAGGATTATGAATGTTGGTTTACACATTTATGCATTTACATGGTTCTACATTTCATGGTATGAATGACTATAGATAACACGTGTGAAATACACGATTCTGTAGCAACATCTTTGTACAGGGGAACATTTTGTACAAAGAAAACATTAACACCCCTGAGACCCTGGGTTCTCTACCAGCAACACAAATAATAGCAATAAAACAAAACCACTAATGGGCTCTGAAAGTGGTCAGAGCTTGGAACCCCAACTCTGCCATTTACTATCTAAATTTTATTTATAGGAAAGAACAACAGCTATTGTGAATGATGTGACAGAAAGTCACATACCCAGCAGGTATTTGCAAGGCAGGAGCTGAGGATACAGCAGGAACAAAATAGATGAGAATTCCTGTCTTCACAGGCTTACGTTCTAGTGAAGGCAGAAGTAAAATGAAACAGGGGGCACACACAGTCTGTTAGACGGTGCCACAGGGTGAGGATAGGATCCAGGGGAGGGGAGGGTATGCATGTATGTGGGGGGAGAGGCTGCATTTTTAGGTAGGGTGGGGGCTGAATTGTGAAAGTGGTAACTGAAAAAAGAAAGGGAGGGGTGAGCGCAAACTAAGTGGATATTTGAGGAAAGAACATTCCAGCAGGGCCCACTGTAACGGTCAAAACTCTTATCAGAGACGGGTCCATAGAGTATGGTCTCCGAAGTAGCCTCAGCAGTGATCTCGTCAAAAATGCAGATCCGAAGGTGTAATGGAAGCGATGGTGATCTCTGAGGCTTGCTCCCGGGGAATTGCTTCAGTGAGTTCTCTAAGCTCTAAGAGCCACCGTTCTAACCTCGGGAAACCCGCTTTGGAAGCAGGCGTCCCGGCAACACCTCACTCCTTAGCCTACTACCTGCGATCCACAGTTGACAAACGCTTCCGGTCATCAGGAGTGCCTGGGCCTTGTTAGACTGCAGATTGCTGGGGCCCCTGAGTTACTGATTCATTGTGTTTGGTGTGGGGAGGCCCTGAGACTTTTCATTTCTGCTTGTTCTTAGGGGGTGCTGATGCTTGCCTGGGTGTCTCTCTGAGGGTCGCTACAGGCGCCTGCAAGTGAGCTGCAAGGGAGGGGGGGAGGAGGAAGAGGAGGGGGAGGAGGAGGAGGGGGAGGAAGGCAGAAGGAGCGGCACTCCTGTAGGAGGGGCCTTGGCTTTTACTGTACGATAGCCGTATCCATGAAAAGCTGGTACCTGAGACTGGGTGAGGACAAAAAAGGAAGCGATGAACAGTAAAATCTGGATAATTTCAATACGAAAAGCAGATTTTGCTGACGCACTAAATGTGGGTTTTGAGGAGTGGTTATCCTAAGAGGGCCTCGAGAATCTGAAGCCAGGCGATGGGCACGAAGTCCCTGGCACACAGTATGTGCTCAGTAAACGATGCATTAAAAAAACGACCCTGTTATCACTCAACCCCTGGAAGGCAGCAGAGGAAAGAAACCTGCTGGATGAAATGTGTGGCCCGGATCGTAGGTGCTGAGGCGCTCCTTGGGTATCCCTTAACTTAACGTTTTGCAAGAAGGGAAACGGTTTTCAGAAGGGGAAACAGAAAGGTGAACCCTGGCACTTACTGCTGCTTTTTCCCCTCCATGGCCCTCTTCGATCTGGCACGTTGCGGCCAGGAGCGTCAGGAAAGAACACTTGAGTTATCCTGGCCTGGAAAGGGTTCCAGAGCGCTGCTACTGTGACTCCAGTGTTGCTAAGCGACTGAGGCCTCAGGAAGAAGCTGAAAGCTGCGGGGACCGTTGCGCAGGCGTAGAAGGCGTTCTGCTGGGCTTTCGCAGCCGGGCGTGGCTGGCTGGTTCCGAGCAAGAGGGACAGAGCTGGCCAGTCCCTTGTTCCTGGCTCCAGCCTTAGGTTGGACACTGAGTCTGACCTTGGAGAGCCAGCGGGTAGTCAGCCTGGCTGGTTAGTCTCGAGGAGTGAGCGAGGGCGGCTTCCAGGCCTCCCCTGCTGCCTGGGAAACCTGCTTTGCGTCAGCCCTTCAGCGCTGTGCGGAGGAGCTCCGTAGTCACTTTACCGTGGTTTCTGGCAGAGCCTCTGTTGCCAGACCCGAGGCAAGCTTTAAAAATAGAACAAAGGATGCTCCTCTGCAAACGAGGCTCCCTGTGGTGTGTGCGTCTGCCTGGCCTGGGCGAGGGCTTAGGGTGGGTGCGGGGACCGCAGGGCTAGGCCGAGCTGGGCTTGCATGCCTGCACTTCCCCCAAAGCGCGTCGTTCACCTTGACCCTGGAAATTCTTACTTCATTTTACCATTGCTTCTCAGTTTTCCACTACCAGAGCCAAAAGTCTCTGGCACGTGTGATAAGTGTTTTCCCCGCGTGGGGAAGGAAACGGGACTGGAGAGGTTTCTGTTGACCTGCACCCTGCTCTGTATGAGCAGTGTGTGTGAGCATGGGGAGCCAAAGTCAGTTTGTCTGTTTATACTCGCTTGGGACAGAGCTGGGCTCGTGGAGGCTGACCTTTGTGCCCATGTCCTAAGATCCTGTCGGGAGAAGAGATCGTGGATAGATTTGATATCCAGCAACCTACATATTTGAGTGTAGTCTCTGTTGTTAAAAAGCTGGGAGGGTATGTGAATGTCTGAGGGTGCGTATGTTTCTGGAGGAGGAAGTGGGTGGAAACCAGATATGAGGGAAATAGGTTGGAGAACTGGAACGCTAGGAATGGAGGGGGAGGAGCGCGCATGCGCTGAGCCAGGCGTTCTTTGGACCCTGTATCCAGGAGGAGATACCTAGTTTTATCCTAACCATCAAACGGATTAGGCACATAGGCTCTGGGAGCAGCGGGTGTTTGCCTTATGGATTCATCTCTTGCTAGCTTGAGCATAAGGAAGACATTTAGTGTCTCAGAGCCTGAAGTTCTTAAGTCACAAAATCTTAAAACACCTAGGACACCTGTCAAGTATAGATGGCTTAGATGTTTGGTCACCATCAGCTACCACTGCTTTATCCAGACTTGTGACCTGCATGTCACATGCCAATGGAGTTTTTTAGTCATAAAGAAGAATGAAGTTACGTTGTTTGAAGGGAAAAAAAAATGGATGCAAGTATAGATATAGTAAGTGAATTAAGCCAGTCTCAGACAAAAATTATGCATTTTCTCTCATTTGTGGTTCCTAGATTGCATACAGTCACACAAATAAAATTGTCTAAAGGACAGTGGGATGAGAAAAAGGAGTATGTTCAATATGGAATATAAACCTGAACAAATTGTGTGTGTGTGTGTGTGTATGTGTGTGTGTGTGTCCCACCTTTATTCACATTCAGGGACCAGAGAAGTATGGTGTGCATCTTCCTCTACCGTGCCCTCCTGCTTTGTTGCCTTGAGACAGGGTTTCTCACTGAGCAAGAAGAAACTCTCTGATTTGGGTGTTGGCTGGCCAAAGGCTCCCAGGTCAGCCAGTCCCTACTCCTCAGTACTGGGCTTACAGGCATGTACAGCCAAGCCTTATTTTTTTATACGGGGGCTAGTGATATGAACTCTGGTCCTTTCGTTTACACCTTGCCCACTGGCCTTGGGAGATGGCTCAGTGGGCAAGGTGTAAACAAGAGAGAGAGAGAAAGAAAGAAAGAGAATGAAGGAAAGACAGAAAGAAAGAAAGAAAGAAAGAAAGAAAGAAAGAAAGAAAGAAAGAAAGAGAAAGAAGGAAAGAAAGAAAGAAAGAAAGAGAAAGAAGGAAAGAAAGAAAGAAAGAAAAGGAGAGAAAGAAAGAAAAATAATTTCTACCACAAGATAGTCACAATCTTAGGGGTCTAAAACATTCAGATAGGAAAACTTGGACAACAAAGCTGCAGTGATATAAACAGCATTATATAAATGTCAATTATGGCTATTACATTTCAGTGTTGATAATATAATATTCTAATTCTAATTGTTCTCTATAGTACATTGCACACTATGGATTTGATAACAATTTTATTGACTTTTTTTTTTTACAGAAAATCACTGAACTGCTATGAGTGGTTTTTCTTCATAACTATTTGATCTAGGAGAGAAACATTAAGTTCTCTGTGCTGTGGATTCTCGATTATAAAAACAGAGGTATCCATATTCTCATCCTTACAAAACGCCATCACTCTGTTGAAAAATTATGCCTGAGAAAAATCAGTGACCATTAGCCTAAATGAAAAATGTCTCATTTGTTATGGGAGGAATGCTTTCCAACAAAGAATCATCCAAAGCCATCTATTTTCTAGTATTGTCAAGTTAAAAACACCAGAACTACCATAGCATATGTGAAGGACCACAGAAGGGCGGAAACTGCTCATCCACAATGTTAGAGATACATAAAATTGTCAGTATAGTTTTAAACCACAACAAAGGGCTAAAAAATATTTAGTGATACTGTATCCTCTCCTTATATTAGAACCACAACTGAGGGAGACACTTCCTTTTCTCCAGCAGTGTGCTTGCGATTTAGAGGAGGGTCTCACACATGTGACCCAAACAATAGCTAGCCCAAATTCTATTTTTAAAAATCAGATAATTTATTTGCTTCATAAACATGTGGTATAGAAATTGGCCAAGCACATGGTGACGCTCATTAAAAGCTAGCTGTCAATATTCTTCCTATATTTATGGATTAGTGAGATGAAAGATTTTTTTTTAAAGTATGTTGCTGTACTTTTTTCTCCTGGCTCTAAGTTCCTGGAATAATGAATGACTTTTGAGACTAAAAATATAATTAAAAATCACAAATACCTAGGCTATATAAAAAACACATTCATTCTAATATACATCTTCCCGAGACTAATCTCTTGCACTCAGTATTCTTTCTGCTGCCAGATGTCCCACCTTCTATTCTACGATATCTTATAGGCCATAGTTTTGTTTGTTTGTTTTTTGAATCACAGGTGATGTTTCCATATAGACACAAGAGTTAATAACATAAAATCCAGGTAATGCATCTACTTTTGTAGAAGGACTCTCTTGTGTCTATATAGTCTACATATCCTTTTTTCTTTCCTTCTTTCCTTCTTTCCTTCTTTCCTTCCTTCCTTCCTTCCTTCCTTCCTTCCTTCCTTCCTTCCTTCCTTCCTTCCTTCCTTCCTTCCTTCCTTTCTTTCTTTCTTTCTTTCTTTCTTTCTTTCTTTCTTTCTTTCTTTCTTTCTTTCGAGACAAGGTTTCTCTGTGTAGCCTTGGCTGTCCTGGACTTGCTTTGTTGACCGGGCTGGCCTCACAGAGATCTGCTTGCTTCTGTCTCTGAGAGTGCTGGGATTACAGGTATGCATACCACTTCCAGCTCCGAGTTTCTTTTTAAGGCTGTTTTTTGTTGTTGTTGTTGTTGTTGTTTTGCTTTTCCTGTTATGCCTGAAGAATTCCAGAGGTATAATCATCTTCCACACAGAAGTTACAGTGCCTTATTGTCTGATTACTAAGCAACTTCTATATTATGATCTATTCTCACTGGGCTTGAGGCTTTTATTTGTTCATCTGAAACCCCAGGACCTAGGGGAAAAAAAGTCTCTGTAATAAAAACAAACAAACAAACAAACAAACAAACAAACAAAAACCTTGAATGAGGTTGATTTAGAAAAGTCTTTCTTTTGCCAATATTTATATTTAATTTTATTTACTTTGTAGGAAAGTCTATATTTTACTCAATCTGTACTGCTTCTAAATTTTAATTGTTTTTTGTTAGATACACATAAAAACTGTTCTTGTATTTTTTAGAGGATCTCCACATTTTAAACATAGTAATTAAATGTTCTTTTAAGATGAATAACTTAAGTTCTTCAATACCTGCCCATAAAAATCCACTTTGAGTCCTTTCTTTGATGCTGTGTATTTTTGAGGGGAGGAGAACTATTATTTACTAAACTTTAAGGATAGAGCTGTGTTGAAACCCTTGCTTTGTGTCTTTGAAGAAGTTGTGTAAATTCTTCTAGTCTTCAATTTTGAATATTTTGGCTGTTACCTAAAAATAATGAAAATAAAATGACCTGGTAGTAGTGGTACATGCTTTTATTCCTGACATCAGGAGGTGAAGTAGAAGTTTCAAAGCCTGCCTGAACTATATAGTGGCATCTTCAAGGCAAGCCTGAGCTAAACGAGCCTTGTCTCAAAAAAAACAAAACAAAACAAAACAAAAAAAAAAGCTGAGGGCAGAGTGCTTACGCAATAATCAAAAATTAAAATGATAGGTATTAAAAGAACTTGTAGATCTTGTTGGTATATGATGTTATTATAACAACTGACACAAAAGAAGCCCAGAAGTCAACACTGAGGCTTCTACCTGAAACACAGTGTTCAGAACACTGACTAGAGGACTGGAAATTTGAGCTCATGTGGACTACACAGTTTCAGGCTAGCCTGGTCTATATACAGGCAACAAATTGTCCTCTTTCTTTCATATACACACAATGGCACAAGCCTGAGTACATGCAAAACCACACAAAAATGTTTAAATTAATTTTTAAAAAAACCGCACCTCAAACCCACACAAAATAAGCACTCAATAAATATTTCTTCCTGCCATCCTTACCATCCTCACCCTTGCCTAAAGGTGACCAACTAAAAAGTGAAGCAATCATTACTTGCTTTTTTTTGCCAGTGTTCTCCCTTCTAGACCTCAGGGCCTCTCATGTGCACACACAAACTCTTGCTTCAAACCATGGTAACAACAATGGGACAAGATATCCCAAGCAAGGCTTTTCTCATGTAAACCAGATTGGAAAGGTCACTGTGTTGTGAGATTCAGTTTTAAATCAGTTTAATACCAATTAAAATCAAATTGTGTGATGGAAGGTGAGCAGAAGACTAGAGGCCCGAAGGCTGTGACAGTGGAGACGGGTAGTTACTTAGTAAGTGTGCAAAGGGTTAATTAAGTGTGCTGCATCCATTGTGGAAAGTCACCATTCACAATGAGCTCTGATGAACGTACAGGTTCCG